GGTTATAGAGGAGAAAAGAAGGACGTAGGGAGGAGAAGAGAGTGAGAGAGGGATGACTTACTTCCTTGAGGATGTGCAGCCTCTCCTGCGACTGCATAAAGACTTGCCGGTATTGGGCCACGCTCTCCCGTAGCACAACCTCTTTGGTAGTCCTGCCATCGCATATCGCCTTCATCTTGAGCTCCATTTCCTTGCGGAGAAAGGGCTTGGAGAGACTCGTCTCAAAGTTCATCCGGTCAAAGCCCAGGATCAGAGCCACGCCCAGCTTGGTCGGGATGAACACCCTGGTCCCTCCTCGTCTGCCGCCAGACCCTTCTGCAGCTCCTCCGCCGCGGCCTCCTCGTCCTCCGCCACGGCCGCCCCTTCCGCGTCCACGGCCGCCCCCTCCTCGCGTCGCCGCAGCATCTGCCTGACCATCATCGCCTGACGGCGCGTTGCCCCGGTCCACTGCGGCAGCATACTCGCGGTCTTGGATCTTCTGGATATGCTCCGCCATCGTGGCGTCCGTGCCGATGCCGTTGGCATCCATAAAGGCGATCAGGTCCGCCTCCGTCAGGTAGTTGGGCGGCGACGTCTTGCCCTCCGTCATCAGGGCCTCCGTCGGTTCGAACCGCTCGCCGGCCGTGAACTTGGGCAGCTGCGCTGAGCTGTCCCACTTGTCGTAGACGTATACGTCGAGGTAGTTCCTCTCCAGCACGATGATGCCGTGCGTGTTGAACGTCTCGTCGCCGTACTGGACCTCAATGTCCGTGGCCATGCCCTTGGCATCTTCGGAGCAGCATGCCAGGAAACGACGCACCACGTATTCGTACAGCCGCCCCTCGTCCGGTTTGAGTACACTAGGTGCCGCGTGAGCGATGGGATGGATGGGCGGGTGAGCCTTGTCGTCGTGTCTGCCCTCCCGGGGCTGCTGGAAGCCCCCGCCCGCGAGACCTCGGGCGTACTCCCCCCAGCGTTGGTCGGGCGTTTGCTTGTCTACCAGAGCTCGGAGGTTCATGCCCTTGTCGAAGCGATCCGTCTCGGTCCTGGGGTAGCTTATAAACCCTCTGTTGTAGAGGGCCTCTGCTATGGTCATTGCCTGTTGTCCCGTCATCCCCAGAAGACGCGTGGCTGCCTTCTGAAGCTCGACCGTTGTCAACGGCAGCGGCTTGTACTTGGACGTGGGTCGTTCTTGAACCTTGGACACCCTGGCCTTCTTGGCCTCGAGACACCTCTCGTACAGTATGAGGGTTGACATGCGGTCAAAGAGACGGTTCCGTGCCCACGAGAAGTTGACTTTCTGCCCGTCGCGGTTATGCGTGAGCTTGATGCTCCAGAATGGTTCGGGTACAAAGTTCTTTACTTTGAAATATCGGTCCACGACAAATCCTAGCGTCGGAAACTGACAGGAACCTGGCATCGTACTGTCAGCCGATACAGCAATGAGAGCATGCAGCGATATCTGCAAAGCTTACCATAGCTGATGATCATGTCGCTCATGGGCCCTCGAAGAGTACGTAGGCTGTTTGTGATGAATCTGGTAAAGGCATAGCCTATGCGCAGGTCCAGCTCAATCCGCGTCGCAACTGCATCAACTTGCTTCTCATCAAGGTTCGCCAACCGCCTCGCCGCTGATATTACATGACTGCAGCAGAGAAGTCAGCATCGGTCTATGCACGGGTAAAGCTGGAGGCTGTGCGCAGAAACGTACGCTCGCTCTACATTGCTAAAATGAGCTCGTTTGACAGTAATGTTGCGGTTACCCAAACGTGCTGCCTCGACAATCTCGTGGCCGATGTGCTCCCCTTCGCGATCACAATCGGTCCATATGACGAGCAGGCGCGCATATTTTGCCTGGTCGGCAATATTTTTCGCAATCGCCTTCTTGTCCTGCGGTAGATATCAGCACCACGTTGCACAGCTATCGAGCATCGATGAGGGGGGTTGGAGGGGGTATACATGAACCCACATCATGGACACTGGTAATCACGGGCGCGCTGAAAAGGGACTCCGGGGGTGGAGAGTTCCAATCCTTGTAGTCCATGGGGAAGGATACCTGGGTCAGATGGCCTGTGACGGCCGTCATGGTGACATCGCTGCGGCCCCATGGTTGGCCGAAATCAAAGTTGAAGGAATAGTTCTTGATATACTGGTTGCGTGTGTTGTGCTGATGGTGACAGCGTTTAGCCAGATGCCCTCATCAGTCACAGAGAAGCTTCGCCACTCACCGTCTGGAAGCTGCCGCCTGAGAGATGGCCGGCCACAGCCTTGGAGATGGAGGGCTTCTCAGCCACGCACAAGACCTTCATGCTTCCGAGTTGGGTATGAAGAAGAGTGTTTGATTCCAGCTGCCTGGCTAAGACTCACACCAGTGCGGCTCACCTGTGGCGAGGAGATATGTCTAATATGGACCACGAGGGAGCTGGGGGCACTCGGCACACACGCAATGTCATGATGGACAGGACTGCCAACCTCTTTTCATCTTCTTCTTCTTTTCCCGTGTGCCTGCGCGAATATCCTGTGCCTCCGTGGCTACCGTGACGACCTGGAGCTGCTCCAACACTATCCGATCCCGAGAAGACTTGGAGATCAAGTCTGGTAGTGGTGAGGGAAGGGCAACCGTGAGTAGGTCTGACAGGCGCGTCAGTTGGCGTTTCTTTCTACGCCCATAGCGGAAGGCGGTGTAGATGGTATGTGTGGGTGCGGCAGGTACAGTGTAACTGTGGACGTAGTGGACCCTGTTAATGTCTGCAGAGGGTGCGGCTACAGCCTACCGGTGTGTTTAAACAGCGTGTTGAGGGTCGCTGGAGGTTGGTACGTACTGTAATACGCCAGATCTCCTACTCTCCATCCCAACATCGCCATCATCGTGACTACGCAACCTTGAAGTCTATGACGACTCCGGATAGAGGCTTCCACGTGATATAAAGCAGGTTCGGCTCCCCCAAAGTCGGTATCTGTATATGGCACCTTCCCCTCCCATCCGACCCGCCCCTTCGCAGCTATGGCTCTGCCCGTTCTCAAATCCGTCAAGGAGTGCGGTGACTACTCCAAGACAGTGGAACCGTTCATTCCTCAATTGTATGACTTGCCATACCGAGTGTTGGACAATGTCGGCAGCATCGACGGCCTCCTGAGTGTGTATACCGATACAAACCCGCTCATCACGGCCTTTGGAGCATCGGTGGTACTCAGTTCCATCTTTCTGGTGGTCTCAGAGATCAACCGCAACTACTCACAGGTCGACCGCTTGTGGAGCTTGTTGCCCAACCTCTACATCGTCCACCTGGCCGTCTGGGCACGTCTTGCAGGAGTATCGCACAGCCGTATCGATCTGGTCGCTACATTCTCGACCTTGTGGAGCGTAGGTGACATTGGCTTCTTCTTGGTACGCACTGTATATCCTGCTGATACCCGATCTATCTAGGCCCGGTTGACTTACAACTACTGGCGGAAAGGCGGCTACACTGTTGGATCCGAGGATTATAGATGGTAAGACTTACCCACAAGAAACATCGCGTCAGCCAGCATTAACTCTTCGAATACAGGGCCGTCCTCCAAAAGTACGTGCCCAGGTTTGTCTGGTTCATCTTCAATCTCGCATTCATTTCCTCCATCCAGACCGTCTTGCTGTTCTCCATCTCCTGCATTCCGGCCTACGCTATCCTGCTGTCAACGCAGTTTGACGAGGCGATCACGACTGCCGATCTATCCTACTTTGCCATAGAGCTAGTGCTTGTCCTAAGTGAATGGTTCAGTGATGGCCAGATGTGGAGTAAGTGCACGTGCTTGCTCTTTCGAGGACCCGACTAGCCGCTGACAGCTTCCAATAGACTACCAGACTGCCAAGCACAAGTACAAGGAAAATGGGAAGATCCCAGAAGGCTTCCACAAGAAGGATCTGGACCGCGGCTTCATAACCTCGGGCCTGTTTGCATACAGCCGCCACCCCAACTTCCTCGCTGAGCAAACCGTCTGGTTTGCCCTGTACCAGTGGAGCTGCTACGCTACCAACAACTTCTACAGCTGGACCGGCATCGGCAGCGGCGCCCTCATGCTCCTGTTCCAGGGATCTACCTGGTTGACGGAGCTCATCACGGCACAGAAATATCCCGAGTATAAGTACTATAAATCCCAAGTCGGCATGTTCGTCCCCACATCCATCAGCGGCTACAAGGGACCTACGCCCAAAGTCATCCGCACCAGTGAGCTAGGCAAGCGCCAGGAGGAGAATGAGAAGCAAAAGTAAGGGCACAAGGAGCGGTTTTTTTCCCCCGGCGTTTGCTCGATCTGGAGTGTACCATATAGTCATTGTTGCGTACTCCCATAGGTCCTATCACATATAATTGTATTATCGTCTATAATCTATCATTCCCCGACGGTCGTATAGCATCTAAGCGTTATCCACGAGTCTAAGGTCACTGAGCTTGTCGGCGTAGAAGGACGGGACAGCGATGGCATCCTCCTTTTGCCATGCCTCCTTGCTGTCGACGCCGGTAAGGACATGCAGGGTGCCGCCGAGCTTGCCATCGACGCCGAACTTGATGTCGGTGTTGAGCCTATCGCCAATCATGCACGTCCTAGCGCGGTCGAGCTGGAACTTGCCCTCGACGGCATCCATCATAGCCTGGGAAGGCTTACCCAGCTGCAGGGGCTGCTGGCCCGAGGCGTTGATGAGGGGCGCCATGACGGACCCGGCGCCGAGGAAGAAGTTGTGGTGCATGGGCAGGGTGGAGTCGGTGTTGGTGGCGAGGAAGCGCGCCCCGTTCTTGAGGTAGTACATCCCGTACGCCGACTTGAGGTAGTTGAAGTGGTAGTCCAGCCCGGCCAGCACCACGCCGACCTCCGGGTCGAGGAGGGACCCGTCGGCTAGACCCTTGAAGTCGTCATCGGTGATGTCGCGACGGAAGGCGGGGTCCGTGCCACCGATGTGGGGGACACCTTCGGCATCCAGCTCCTGTTCTATGCCGGACTCGCCCATGACGAAAACCTTGCTCTTGCCGGGGGGGAGCTTGAGGATGCGCGCAATGTACACAGCCGACGAGTAGGCTGAGCCGAAGATGTCCTCGACGTCGCTGGGGATGTTGAGACGCGTGAGCTTCTTGATGTACTCTTCGCGAGACTTGGTAGAGTTGTTGGTCACGAAGACGGTCCTCTTGCCTGGTGTCATGTCAGATTCAGTTTTTTTCCTAGATCGTGTATCTGTTGTTGAGGTTGAGGGTCTTGTCATATGTATCGTACCTTTGGATCGGAGCATTCGGAGAGTCTCGGGGATCCCCTCGTATACGCTGTCGCCGGACCAAAGGACGCCTTAAAGAGGTGAGTAATATGAGCTTCTTTTCTCTCCTAATTTTTTTATTCTCTTTTTTTTTTTTTTTTTTTTTTTTTTTTATCATGATATCATTCCAAGGTATATATAATCTCCCTCACCATCACAGTCAATGAGAAAGACCTGTGTTATATTTATATTGTAAGCAAATCTGATAGAGGGGTAGTTCCGGATATCGATAGGAAGGGGCCATGGCATACGTCGAACTTGTCGATGAACTCGTTGATGGCGACACTGTCACCGGTCAGGTGCTTGGGACTCGAAGCCATTTTTTGACACGTCAATCTGTACCTTCGAACAGAGGAGGCTTCTTGTTTTCCGTGTGAGTGGGCGCGGATGTCTAGAGGTGACGAGGCTTTTTGGATGTGAATACGTAGGTAGTGCATGCACAGCTAGAGTACAGATACTGCTAGGGATATTCGGATTTGTGGGGATGACTAAAGAAAAAATAAGTGGTCTCACGCCCGAGGCATGACATATCTACACCCCAGCTCAACAAGGTCGAATCTAGAGTAAAAGAGTGAAGAAGAATATGGGCTAGACGTGGATTGATCGGCTGATACATTATTGGAGAGCGAGTGGTGATATCGCTACCGGGGTCTGTTTGTCAAGGGCCCTGTAAGGGCAAGAAGCTACGCTCCAAGTTTCCGACACAGAACAGACAAGGAACGCAATGATGGAGAACAGATAAATGGCAGTTAGTGCCCAAAGCAGTATAATATTATATGCTCGTACAATGATTTTCTACAGCTTCCATGGTGGCTATTTGCTAAATATGGTAACTAAGAGGAAATCCTTGTGCTCGCACAGTAGATTCATGTAAATATGCACATTCAGAGGAGGCGGCCTGCCAGGGTGAAGCCGTAGGTGATGGCCGAGATAAATGTGGCCAGGTTGATGAGAGACGAGAGACCGTGCATGGCCCCGAACTTCTTATTCAGGGCAACCATCTCATCCGAGTGAGGGCCTTCAGCGTACCAATCCTTTCCGTCGCGCTTGGCTAGAATAAGAGTTTAGAATATGTGCGGTTTCAGACAGGTTGAGATGGTGAGAAAGAGGGGGTTGGTAGGGTTGGAAGGCAGCGCTTACACTGGCCCTGACGAGCCTGGATGAGCTGAGTGACAGCGGGCAACATAACAGCTAGGTTGATAAATCCGGTGATGAACATGGTAAGGATAGGGAGCATCGAGGGGACGCGGTTGACGTCGGCAAAGAGGCCGCTGATGCCGGAGTTGAATCCAAGAATGGCGTTTCCGGGGAATGTAAAGATCATGATGATAGGGAGGAAGGTCTGCATGCCGAAGTAAATAGGAAATAAGCCGGACTGGACAGTGGAAAAGGTCGTTCGGTTGGTGCTTCTGAACATGACAGGGCCGTTGATGAAGGACTGTTATTAATTCAGATAATTGTTAGTAAGATCTCAGAGGGAAAAAAAAGAGTGAGACACGCAGACGTGCATGTCGATGAATGTTACTCACCTGGTAGAAGGATGTTCCCAGCAAGGTGCCATATCTGTCCCAACCCAAGTTGTTAGCTTCCATGCGACTGATCACGTCACCCGGGATCATCGGATACATACGACAAGATATGGTACGGGGCAGCCGAGAAAAGGGCGGAGCCAGCCATGATGAAGAGCTTCGGGAGGAAAGCAGGGTGAGCGTAAAGGGGTATAGTCAGTCGCTGCGGTTTGTAAACATGAAGAGCGATAGTAATCCAACAGACATCAAAGGGTCAAAGGGTATTCGTAATACTTTGTTGCAAAAGGTGGAGTCGGTTATCAGACAGGCATGGCACGAGCGGGAGCCCGAATGATCTTATGTGTGCATGTGACGCACGTGACCTCGCGTAACCACCGCGTACCATCGACACTCACACCTGCTTGTTGCTGCCTGGGACTCTGTTGCCTTGAGAACTGGAGTTTGACAACGAGTGAGGGGTATGTGACAAGAGGTTTCTGTTCCCTCTCTCCTACGAAGAATGGGTTTGGCATTCCTCTTCTTTCCTTTCGTCTTCTCACTCACTCTTTCACGTTGAAGGCATTGCGCAGCAGCAGCAGCAGCAGCAGCAACAGCAGCCATGGCGGAAAAGGAAGCCATCATCTTCATCCTGGACCTAGGTTCCACCATGTCCCGGACGCACAATGGACGTTCCGAATCGGATCTGGACTGGAGCATGCGATTCGTATGGGACAAGATGACGGATATTGTCGCCGCGAACCGCAAGACTCTCTGCGTCGGCGTGGTGGGGCTGAGGACCGACGGGACCAGCAACAAGCTGCAGGCGGACGAGGGCTACGAGAACATATCGGTGCTGCAGGATCTGGGGCCCATGACCATGTCATCTCTCAAGACTCTGCAGGCGTCCATCAAGCCAAGCAAGACGTGTGCCGGCGACGCCGTGTCGGCCATTGTCGTGGCTGTCGACATGATTGACTCCTTCACCAAGAAGCTCAAGTGGATCAGGAAGATCTACCTCATCACCGATGGCCAGGGCGCCCTGGACGCCGATGACGTTGAGCCCATTTCCAAGAAGATGAACCAGTCTAACATAGGCTTGACAGTGCTGTAAGGCAATACTCTCTCCTCTTCTTTCTTTTCCTCTCTTGGCCGCATTGCTGATGCATCTTGTAAAGTGGGGTTGACTTTGACGACGCCGAGTACGGGTTCAAGGAAGAGGACAAAACACCAACAAAGGTGAGCTATCAGAATAAGATAGGACGGTGGCCTTTATTTTCTATGTGTGACTAACACATTGATCATTTAGGCAGAAACAGAACATGTGCTTACGTCGCTCGTTGAACGTTGCGAAAATGGCACTTTGGCTACCGTGGCCGATGCTATCGACAGGCTGGACACCCCCACGGTCAAGTCTGTCAAACCGTACAAGACGTATGACGGTTCCCTGACGCTGGGGGACCCTGAAAAGTTTCCGTCGGCAATGAACATCAATGTCGAAAGGTACTTCAAGACTCACCTGGCCAGACCCCTCGGGGCAAGTACTGTGGTGGTCAAGCCGGAAAATATCGGAGGCGAGACGCAGTCTACGCAAACGGCGGATGAGGCTATGGAAGGCACCGACTTCTCTGCTGTCAAGCAGGCGAGGTCATACAAGGTTAACGACCCGGATGCGCCCGGCGGCAAGCGTGATGTCGAATTCGAGTCTCTAGCAAAGGGCTACGAGTACGGCAGAACCGCCGTGCCGATAAGCGAGTCTGAACACAACGTCACAAAGCTCGAGACGACAAAGAGCTTTACCATCTTGGGGTTCATCCCCTCGAATAAGGCACGACCATGCCTCCTCTTTTTATTATAGTACTTCCGGCTAACAAGACGTGTCAATGCAGTATGAACCATTCTTGAACCTCGGCGAGGCCTGCGTCACGTATGCCCGCAAGTTTGACGAGGAATCGGAGCTGGCGCTGTCCTCACTAGTATGGGCTCTTCTGGAAGTAGAGTCTTACGCCGTGGCACGCATAGTGTTGAAAGATGGCAAGGACCCCCTTCTGGTTCTCTTGGTACCACACGTCGATACGGACATGGAATGCCTTTACGACGTTCCCCTTCCTTTCGCCGAGGATATCCGGACCTACCAATTCCCACCCCTAGATAGGGTGGTCACCGTCAGCGGGCAGACCCTGAGCAAGCATCGGCTCCTGCCCTCAGAAGACCTCGATGAGGCAATGAGTGACTACGTCGATGCTATGGACCTCTCCAGGTACGGTATCGATGACGATGGGTATGTAGTATTTGAGAGCCCTTTTCTCGCTCTTCTCGCCGCACATGCTAACCGCCTTCATTTGGCAGAGAACCTGCCGAGTACGCCCCCTTTGACGATTCTTATAACCCGGCGATACACCGAGTGAACCACGCTGTCAAGGCACGCGCCGTCCACGCGACGGGTCCAGTACCACCGACCCCTGCTGTTCTGTTGCGCTTCTCCTCACCACCGGAAGACCTCATCCAGAAGGTCCAGAACCGGATCGACACTCTTATCCAGGTTGCCGAGGTGAAGAAAGGTGAGTGCCTCCATACTCACGAAACTCGATCCTCCACATCCAGCAAGGCTTCTCTGATACGTGATGCGACACAGTGCCTCCGAAAGCCAAAGGCCGTCGTCAGCGCGAAACGGTCAAGCCGATATCCGGCCTGGATGTGGACGCCCTCCTGGGCGAGGACAACAAGGGCAACGAAATCTCACCAAACAATGCTGTCCCTGACTTCAAACATGCCCTGGAAATCGCCGACTCGGAAGAGGCACTGCGGAACGCGGCCAAGCAGATGGGACAGATCATCCAGACACTCGTCACCGACAGCTTCGGGGACAGCAAGTACGCGCAGGCCATCGAGTGCTGCGGTGTCATGCGCGAGGAGCTCAATAACCTGGACGAGCCACGCATCTACAACACGTTCGTGCGCGACCTCAAGATGAAGGTGCTCTCGGGAACCCTGGGGGGTGACAGGAGGGACTTTTGGTTCAACATCCGGTCATCCAGGTTGGGCCTGATTGACAAGATGCTGTCTGAGCTGTCCGAGGTGTCGACAGAGGAGGCGGCCGAGGTGAGTTGCACAACGGCTTTCGTTTGCCATATTTTTCGTATGACGTCGACGTGGCTTGCTGACTAGTAGCCGTACAATTCGCAGTTTTACAACCCGAGATGATGCCCGGATGACGATTTGACTGCATGACCTCGTATGAATAACCCGAAACAGAGCCTGGTATCTATCCCTCCCCTCTTCTTGTCTGAGGCTCGTAGCTGCCCCGTCCCACTTCCCTACAGTCAGCAGTTCTGTTTCTCTGAAAACAGGCGACCTGTAATAAATTACGGGCCCTCAAGTCCGTTTACTATTAAAACGAACATTGCTTGCCTTCAAGTTACGTGTCCTTCTCGTTCACCTCGCTCCGCTACGTACGAATAAAACAAACCATGATTGTCACCTGCGTCAGAACTGGCGGCACCTGTCGAGACGCTCAGTGAGAATCTTAGTAACCAACCAACCTATCACGTAGTCCTACTACAGCAAATACAAGGAAGGTTATGTGCCCGGAATGCCGACGCTTCGCATCTCCCGCCTTCTCTCGCCTTCTTCCCCGTCACCCAATCTTGGCAGATACTTCTTTCCTTCATCCGACCGCGTTGTATTCCATATCGGAGAGAGGGTTCCTTCTTCAACTTTCTTTTTTTTTCTTCATTTTTTTTGAACCTGTGATATAGATCCACCAAGTACTCCAGGTTTCTCGTCATGGATACCCAGCGGCGCCTAGGGGACCTCGAGGTGGCTTTCAACAGGATAATCACCCTGGACGCCGGCTCACACCGCGTTGCCAGCGCTTCGCCCCCCGAGGAGGCCGCACAGCGGCAGTCAGTTGACGATGAGGATGGCGGCGTGCCTATGGAGGAGCCGGTCCAGGATGCCTGGGAAAAGCCCGTCCTCGTCCACGATGTAGCTCCGCGGAAGGATACCAAGGATGTGGTTGATGGTACCAACTTCAAGGTCGGCGAGCCAGTGGACGAAAGATTGGCCCTCTGTCCATGGCACAACGTCCAGAGCTACCCGAACTGCTTTGTCGGAAAGGCAAACAAGACGGATGTATGCTGTCCCCCGCCCCCTCCTCCTCCAAGACCTGTTTCCACTTCAACTTCTGCTTTCCCTTACTGACATGTTCCTTTCGTAGGTAGCGCATGAATTCTCCCGCATCTTTGAAAATCGAGCCTGGGATTTGTAAGACTCCGCCCATCTTGCCTCGGAATGTTAACGCTGAAGGCTAATCAGAACTTCTCGCCCCCAAGCTTCTATTTTTATGATCCTGCCAAGGTTGATGAGCGTCCGTACCTCTTCGTGCCGACAGCACAGTTCGAGGACTACCTCGACGACATCAACGCCCGGCTGGACATCCGTCTCAGCCTCCCTAACCGTGCAAACCTAGAGAGATTCATCCTCCGTTTCGATAGGGGCATGCCCCGCCCTCGCTACTGGAAGCGTGCTGTGGAGACCGAAGACATTCGTCCCGATGGTCCATGGCCCGGCGTGTACGCCGCTGACATTGACGTCTTCAACTCAGCCACTCTTCCAGCCAGGGACGAATTGGTCCGCAAGCTCCGATGTGCCCGGACTTCCCCCTTCATTGAAGAGAAGAGGAGGAAGGCTAAGGAAAGATCGGAGCAGAAGCGCGTCGAGAGAGGCCAGATGCTCCACCAGACGCAGGTGCTCTTTGGACTGAGGGGGGAGGATGGCGAAGAACAGGAAAAGGTGTGGGACACGAATGGAAGCAAGGCCATCGAGAGGCCCGTATTTGTCTGCTTCGATATCGAGGCTTTCGAACGTCCGCCCAACCCCGTCTCCGAAGTGGGAATCGCCGTCTTCGATAGCCAGCTTGTCAACGAGGTCCCCCACGGCACCTGCGGGAGGGACTGGTGGCCTGTGATCAAGGCACACCACCTCCGGATCAGGGAGTACTCGGGTCTCGTAAACCGCGTCTTCGTCAAAGGGTGTCCCGGTGACTTCAACTTTGGGTGAGATCATCATCTACGTACAAGGGGTGGCAGACGCACGACTGACAAAAGCATGTTGCCCTCCCTAAGCAAGAGCACTTTCCCCACCCGACGCAAGCTCTCGGATGCCATCAACAAGATATTGCGACCCTACGTGAAGGCATGTCGGGACATCGTACTCGTGGGGCACGACATCAACCAGGACATCCAATATCTCGAATCCATCGGCATAGCCATACTTGAGGTCAAGGGTATGTCGCTCGTCGTCGACAGTCAATCGACCCACCAAGCGTGGAAGAAGAGCAGCAACGGTCGCAGCCTGTCGGCGGTCCTGGCGGACCTCGCCATCGAGAGCAAGAACCTCCACAACGCGGGCAACGACGCCGTCTTCACCATGCGCGCACTCATCGGAGTTGCCATTGAAGATATTCGCCAGAAGAAGGTGGAGGAGGGCGGGGGAACATATGAGCCTCCATTCTAGAGAGACACATTGAAGATTTCCCCTCGATGAGGTGTGCTTCTTTTTCAATTTTTTCTTCTTCTTTTCTTTCCTTTACTTACTTCTTTTCGTTCTTCCTTGGGGGTGTAGGGGAAATTTTTTTTTTTTTTGGGGTTGGG